TACTTTTGGATTCAGCGAAGTACGCTGATGCTTTCCCTTGCTTCTGCTTCAATTCCCTCAACCCCCGAATAGCCGTACCCCTCTCATCTGGGTCACCGAAGTTCTTCTTCATCCACACAGCAAACTCAGAACGTTTTGAGAGGAAAGGGGGAAGAGGAGTAGAAAGTAGATGAGGCTGCACCGCCAGCAGTGCAACCCCTCGTAAGAACCCTACCATCCACAACACACTCTGCTCCTCACTCTCAAACCTATCCTTCATCACACTCAACGCCAACGAACACTGAGTCAAGAACCCAGTGAGCTTCTCCCTTGACCCATCGAATTCGTCCGGATCTTTCGGTTTCGGCGCTCGAGTTGACGAAGTTGTCGCCGACCCTTCTCTAGTTCCCCGCTGTCCTCGACGAAGTTCTTGTACTATCTCTGTCAGAGCCTCACTCTTCTGGTTGTCAGCCGCCTTCAATTCTCTCAGCGCTCTCATCATTTCCACCAGCATCCCATCCCTAATATCTTCTTTAAATCTCTCCGGTGAGTTCCCTCCCCTAGGTCGCGATGTATACGAACTTCTTCCACCAGTCGACCCCCCATCTTCTTCCTCTAATCTTCTCCCTTGATCACCTCCCTCAACCCATGGATCGCCCAAGTATGCGTCAGAAGGTGGTTGGGAGAGAAAAGACGAATCCCTAGAACCGCGAGGTTCTAGGTTACCTTGATTATCCCCCTGTTCGTTCCTCGACATTGCTTCAGCCGTTCTTCTCTCTCGTTCTTTTCCTCTAGTCCACATATATCTTCCCACGAGTTACTGGAGAGTCGGTAAGGACGATCTCTGGTACTGTCACAGGGTTGCTTCTTCGTTAACTTCCTACGACCGACGGCCAATAACTTCGTGGGCTTCGACCTTTACCAACTTCGTTGTTCGAGATATGAAATAGGTGACAATAACTTCTGGGTGTAATAACTTCGTACTTTACTAACTTCTATCACTAAGACAACAACCAGAGATCGTCAAAGATCTCTGGGAACTTCGGCCCTTAAGTACTTCGTCCTTCCCTAACTTCGTCAACGCAGAACTTCGTTCAACCCGACGTCCCGAGCTTCGTACCTCACGAACTTCGTCCCCGACGAAGTTCGTGCCTTCCTAACTTCGTATCCTCCTAACTTCGTATCTCCCTAACTTCATATCTTCCTAACTTCGTATCCCCCTAAGTTCCTACATGACTAACTTCGTCCTCGACGAAGTTAGCCTCCTAATACCCTCGTGGGTGGTGAAGTTCATGCGAACTGGGTCGTTGATGGCGAACTGATGTCCAAAGGAACTTCGTTTGATGGGAAAGGATAATGTCACGCGGCGCCGCGTGACACTATTGATTTCAGGGGTGCGAGAACTTTTTCGAAGATGTGACAGTAGTAAATTCTTTATTGGAGGGTGATTATGATCATTACAGATCGTGACCAGTAGGACAGGACGAAATCCGTCGGCGAGGGCGTCCTCCTGACGAGCTCTTGAAAGTTTGATCTTGAATGGACAGTCTGTTCGCTGGGTATGAGGCTGACGCTGTCGGACTTGATCATATCGAGAGGTGCGACCTGTTCGATAATCTCCACTGCAGACACATTTCATTACCATGTACTGAACTTCCTGATTGCTTGAGCTGGTAACCAGTGCGAAACCCTTGTCTTTTGCTATGACAGACAGTTTTTCACGAGCTATATTGACAGTTGACTGCGGTGGAAGGCGTATAGGTTCATGAACTAGGTTGGGAACTCGTTCATGAGGGCCGAATTCGTCCTCATCGAACAGGTTTGGTGTATCTTCTTCGCCGTCCTGTGACGAATTTTCAGAGTGGTTTGCTCGATTTGGCTGGGGAAATGAAGCTTCAAGGGGATCGAGGTCTTCTGGTTCTGAGTTGAAGTCCCTGAGAGGAGTAGGAGAGGGACAAGGCGAAGGTGTTTGCTGGGTTTCAGGGATTATGATGATAGACTCGCTGTGTTCGCGTTTAAGAGGAGGAAGGGATGGTGGGAGGCAGATGACCAGTTCTTCGTCACTAGAAGTGTCGCTGAGTTCAATGGGTTGAGATTCGGACATGATTTAGACAGAGTTTTGTTAACAGGAAGGCTAAAACTTTAGCTATAACCAAGGGCGGGGGGGAGGGGAAGGGAGACACATACCAATCGGCCTGTAGGTAACTTCTTACTTTGAATACACTGTTTTCTAAGGTAATAAGGGGTGCTGATTCTGATTCTTGCGTTATTTTAGCCTGATGTGATGTTGTCTGAGCTGGAGAGCAAAATGACGGGTGAGTATAAGATGGTGGTTGAATGAAATGATGTTGGAGGATGTTGGTTGAATTAGTACACGTGGTATTTTTCCTTATCAAAAAGTCACGTGCTGGTCACGGGATTGTGCCATAATCAGAAACGTATTGTGCGCGAATTACTCTTCCGATCGTGTCCGCAACCTACCCCTTCCATTCGGCCATCTAAGTCCGGGCACGGATTAGAAATCAGCAGGGGATAGACTTGAAGCCCCGAATACGCCGATGGTAAGTCCGAGACCGAGTTGACCGAGGGTATGTCCAACGCCGAGGTGACCGTGGTTTCGTGCGAATACTAAGAGGGCGTGTGAAGCAAGGGACAGGGGTAGCTTGTCAACGATCTTGAGCGATGGACTTGTGGTAAAGTATGTCGAAGATGGGTGAGCCTCAAAATGAATCGATTTAGTACAGATAGTGAACAAGCTCGCGAAACTTCAGGACTCCATCCCGAAAGAAGGATGAAATGTGAAAACGGCGAGTAGTTAGTACTTAAGAGGAGGGAGGGGAGCGTTCTTCATGTCTTTGGTTTCCTGCTGACTCTCTTTCCACCCTTGTCTATGGACACAACTACCGTCTTCTTCCAAACGAGGGACTATCACACCACCTTTCCTTCTCCACATCGCACATCAAGACATTTCCTTCCTCCCTCGCTCTCCTGCTGAATGTCCTGCATTATTGACCATACAACCGCTGGTGTCCAACTTCGATTGAGAAGCCCAAGATTTCGCCGAAGCTGGAGCGTAGGTGATATCGTTCCGTCCATGGGTCAAGTATATCGGATACGATGTACATTCGTCGAGATCAAGTATACACAAGTTCGACATGGTAGATTATGAAGTCCGATGAAGGTGAGTATGACGAGAGAGAAGACGTGTAGGATGTTGTCATAGGTCTTGACGAGAGTGAATGGAGGTTTATTTGGTTTCTTGAGTCGGCTCTATGGGTTTGGTGAGTTGTAATTCCGAGTCAAGTAGACGTGAGACAGCCATGAACCTGTATCGTGAGTTACGCCGTACAAAGGTTTGATATTTGATATTCTGATTCGCTTGAGCTAGCGCGTTATACAATGGAAGGGTTCCGAGAGAGAGAACGATGGAGATCATGCACCAAAGACGAAGATTTGAACATGCTGAGGGGGGAAAGAAGAACAAACACTTACTGAGCACCACAATAAACACCTAATTTCGCCATACTCTGCAACTGACCTGCCATAGCCGCCAACTGAGCTTCGCTCTCTGCGAGATTATTACCCAATTGTCGTAGACGGGCGGATAAAGCGGTGTAATGCCTTGCTTTGATGGTCGAGGTGGAGGAAGACATTTTCCGGTCTAGCGGCTTGACTTGCGTACTACTGCTGTGAGATGGTCTTCTCGTTTCTTGTGGAAGCCGAAAGACGTCAGTCGACGTAGAGTGAGTTGTATTGCATAGAGTAAGCAGAGGAAGGGAGTGGGAGAAGGGCACAAATGCCACGTACGACGCGTCCGACGCGTTGAAACTCATCCGACGCGTCCCGTCGCGTGGCAACTCTTTTCCCCCAGACAGCCAGTCAGTCAGCCACCTACCTTACCCTATCTTTCACATCTTTTCCTTTTTCTCATTGTTCTCTTTACTTGATCGCTACATTCTCATCACCATGGCAAACGTCGGAGTACTCCCAGTTGCGTCTATTCCTGTGAGTGTTTGTGGCTATGGTGAGGGCTGCACTGATGAGTAGATAAACTACGAGGAAGAGTTGGGTGAGTTTTGTCTCTTTTTCAAGTCGTGATTGCCATCTAGAACATCATCTGTACCATAATCAGGATAAGTGTAACCTCAGAAGGGGGCGTGGGAGGCTGGATCTGACTCTCCGCTGGGGAGAACATGGGGCTTGATTGTATAAGACCGATATGTGGGCGGAAGAGAGGAAGAGGATGTGAAGTGAAAAACGAAGAGATTGCAAAGAGCGGCATGAGTCCGACAGAGAGCTCTTTGAGAAGAGTCTGAGGAATATTACAGTCTTTGGAAAGAGGAGAAAACACGGCAAATCTGCTCCAGTCAATGGTCTGACGTCCAGGTAAAATCGAAGACTTTCTCACCAAATTCGTCCCTCAGGCAAGGAGACCAAGACGTCATGCGCACCTTCCAGCGGACGACGATGAAGCCGCCGAAGAAGAACAAGCTTTGGCTGATGATCTCGACGACTTGGACGTTGACGATGTCGATGGAAGAGAAGGAAGGTCAAAAGCAAAGTATATGAAAGTTTTGAGGAAAGTCGCGAACCGACAGTTGGCAGAGGTCACTGTTGATTTGTCCGATTTGAGAAAGGTGAGTTGTCGTGCTTGATCCAAGTAGGACCTGACTAGGATTTAACTGACTTCAGTTTGACAACGACACCTCTCTCTTGAACAATATCACGCGCAACACTCGCAGATATATCAACTTGTTCAGTGAAGTCATTGACAAGATCATGCCTCAGCCAGATCACGAATTGGATCATACTGCCGACGTGCTCGATCTGATCATGCAACAGAGGAGGGAGATGAATGAACAGATTGCTCAAGGTGAAAGGGGACCTCAGGATACTGGGATGTTTCCTCCTGAACTAATGAGGAGATAGTGAGTTTCCTGTTTGAATCTCTTGATCATCCTTCCTCCCGCTGTCCCGTGACCCATACCACAATCCTGATCCAATCATTCCCCAATCGTCCGGGACTTCATCCGCCAGATGTACCCCCGGAAAAGCTCGCACCTCTATTTTCTATCACCCTACGGCGGATGAGGTTGTTCAACACGAGATTTTGTTTGTCCGTATGAAAGATTCTCTCCCATCAATTTCTCAATGAGCTGTCTTAGCTGACCCCTAGCAACGTATACTTCAAACCTGGTCGCGGAGCCGAAGTCCTCGCTGTACGAAGTGTAAAAGGTGTCCATCTCGGTAAATTAATCACCGTCCGTGGTATCGTCACTCGAGTATCCGAAGTCAAACCTTTACTTCTGGTCAACGCGTACACATGTGATTCTTGTGGTAACGAAATTTTCCAAGAAATCGCCCAAAAATCATTCACTCCACTTGTCACATGTCCATCTGAACAATGTACACGAAACAATACCAACGGTCAACTTCATATGCAGACTCGAGCATCTAGATTCCGTCCTTTTCAAGAAGTCAAAATCCAAGAAATGGCTGATCAAGTTCCCGTTGGACATATCCCACGTTCAATGACTATTCATTTGTACGGTACCCTCACGCGATCTGTCAATCCGGGTGATGTAGTTAACATATCTGGAATATTCCTTCCTACTCCTTATACAGGATTCAGAGCTATACGTGCTGGATTATTACAAGATACATTCTTAGAAGCAACACATGTTCATCAATTGAAAAAACAATATCACGCTATGGAATTAACACCTGAGATCGAACAAGCCATCAGAGATCTGCAAGAGGATACAAACCTTTATTCACGTTTGGCAAGTTCTATCGCACCGGAAATTTATGGACATGATGATGTCAAAAAAGCTTTATTACTCTTGCTTGTCGGAGGTGTGACGAAGAGCGTTGGTGATGGGATGAAAATTAGAGGTGATATAAATGTTTGTTTAATGGGAGATCCAGGTGTTGCGAAATCACAATTGTTGAAATATATCACAAAGGTTGCACCTAGGGGTGTGTATACTACGGGTAGGGGATCGTCTGGTGTTGGTTTGACAGCTGCTGTTATGCGTGATCCAGTGACAGATGAGATGGTATTGGGTGGGTTGTTTAATTTCCCTCGTCCACATATCATTTCAATTCTTTAAACCTCACCTTTTTCGCTAACTTCCTCGTTCACATCACCCTACTTTTCCCACTGGCTATTTTTTGGCGTGTGAAAAAAGAACGAATTGAATGATATTCATCATTCATACGATTGAGTATATAGAGTGAAGGGAAATATCTTAAAAGTTCAAAATCGTAGTCGTGGTCAAGCTGACTTTTCAGAGGGAGGAGCTTTAGTCTTAGCTGACAATGGTATTTGTTGTATCGACGAATTTGACAAAATGGACGAATCTGATCGTACCGCAATACACGAAGTAATGGAACAACAAACCATTTCCATTTCAAAAGCAGGTATAACAACAACACTTAACGCTCGTACATCAATATTAGCAGCCGCCAATCCACTTTATGGACGTTATAATCCCAAAATATCACCTGTCGAAAATATAAATCTACCAGCAGCATTATTATCAAGATTCGATATCCTTTTCTTGATTCTAGATACACCATCAAGAGATGATGATGAGAGATTAGCACAACATGTGACTTATGTTCATATGTACAACACTCATCCGGAATTAGATTTTCAACCTGTTTCACCAACTTTGATGAGATATTATATTGCTGAATGTCGTAAAGTTCGACCTATAGTACCTACCGCAATGTCTGAATATATAGTTTCTTCTTACGTTCAAATGCGTAAACAACAAAAAGAAGATGAAGCGGAAGATAAATTACATACATACGTTTCAGCGAGAACTTTATTAGCTGTTTTAAGATTAAGTCAAGCTTTAGCTAGGTTAAGAATGGATAATGTGGTAGGACAAGGTGATGTTGATGAAGCTTTAAGATTGATGGATGTTTGTAAAGCAAGTTTATATGAACATCAAGTTGGAAAGAATGGAGAGGATCAAACGGATACTAGTAAGATTTTCAGGATTGTTAAAGATATGGCTAGTGGGAAATCTGGTCTTGAACGTGGTAGAGGTAAAGGTAAAGGTAAAGGTAGAGGTAAAGGTAAGAAAGATGATGATGATGATGAGGAAGAAGAGGAAGAAGAATTGGAAGAATTGTTAATGGTCGATGTACGTAATAGGGTTTTAGCAAAAGGTTTTACAGAAACTCAATTGATGGATACTCTTTTAGAGGTGAGTCAATATTTTCTTCATCTACTATCTTTCCATTCTTCAGCATTTCTCTCTCCTCATCATCCATCACCTTTCCCTCAACGATTTCCTCTATCACCATTCATGTCCTTGGGCTTGGGCGATTATCTCCTCGTCTCGTCAACACGACTCGAAGTTTTCCGATATGTCCCATGCTTGAAACTTGAACGAGTCATATGTTATTCGAAAATTAACATTCTTCGTGCAAAACTAACCAACAGTACGAAAATATGGGTGTTCTCGTACGGACTGCAAATGCTACTAGAATACGTTTCGTAGCTCCAGACGAATATTAGTTTCTCCCCCAAAAATTCCCTGAAGCCCCGAATACGAAAACCACGACAACCTCGGTTCTCGCGCAAATCCGCTTCTCAGATCTCCTTTTATTTCCTCGTTGATTCCCAGAATGGCAGATTAGTAATCTAGCAATCTAGCGATACCTGATGCATCTGTATGCAAATATGAGAAATGATACACAACTCGATCTACAGTGACGTTATTGGTCGTTCGTTTTATTTCATCTTTGTTCAAATCTTTATCCCATTCACGCCCGTCTTCGTGATCTTCATCTACAACCTGATCATTTGAGATGTCTCATCTGATCACTCGCTCAGTATCTTTCGTACGACCCTGCTTTCCTTCAACCCCTTTCATTTCTACCCATCATGATCGGCCCTCCTTCACACGCCTTCTCTTGTCCTAGAAACACCATCCACGCCTAGTATCGTCTACCTAAAGAAATGAAATCTTCCCCTGATCTCCAAACTCTTCCATGTGAACATATCGTCTTGCAGCAGTATCACCAATATCAATGTACCCCCATGCAATAAGACGAACCTCATGCAATAAGACGCAAAGGGTGATGTCCCTCACACCTTCAAAACATTCAACCTCTGTCCACTCACACATCCCACCCATTCACCTTCTCTATCAAAAGCGAGATTATTAATCTCCATATCTGCGTTCCAAGCTCTCGCCGGAGATAAATCAAGTGCCGCTCCGGGTGAAGGACTCTTACTTCCCGTTCCTAATTCTTGACTTGGGACAGGTGATAGACCATAGGCGTTTGGGAGAGGACTGGCAGATGGGGATCGAACACCGTTAGGTTGACCATTGCCGTTAGGGTTTTTAGGTGTGGGTTTGGGACGTTCGGGGATTGGGGAGGTGAGGTCCCAGAGTAAAAGTTGACAGTCGTCGCCTGTTTTATCAATGACAAACATTACGAGGAGTCTTATGTGGAGACAGCTGATTTATAGGAGATGCAATGGTAGGAGAATTGTATCAGGAAGCTAGAGGAAATGAAGAGGTTTGAGAAGCAGCAGAGGGAGAGATATGAATGAGAAAAGTGGAGACTGACCACAGGACGCTATCCATCCTCCACCAGAAGGAGAATTAGGTCCACCAGCACCCCAAGCTATGCCTGATAAAGCGCCGGAATGTCCAATAAGCTCAGCTACCGGTTGCCCTGGACTGCGCATGTCTAATATGAGGACTTTGGAGTCATCAACGCCAAAGCAAGCGAGCATATGTCTATGAGTTAGTCAATGATCGGATCTTGAATGAGAAAGACGCGAGCCAGAAGGAGAACAAATGTTACGACACTCGTCTGAGCCAGATCATTGGTGGTATACTGTTCTATTGCTTGCGACAGGAATTACACTGTGGCGAATTTATTACAAAGACAGTGGAGACTCGTGGACTAGAGAGTGAGAGGAAGAGGTAATGACGGTCAACTCACTGTTCTTTGTTGCTGAATGCGATTCTAGCCAATGGAGCTTCGTTGGGTGATTCGTACAAAATAGTTGAATGTTCAAGGGTCCGTAGATCGAATGCTCGTAGAGAACCGTCCGCGCCTACAGACACGAAAATGTCCGCTGATTGTGGTAGCCATGATCTGCCATCAGCCAATCGACTCTTTTCAAAGATAACCAAAAGAGGAAGGGCGGAAGGTATGATTGGAAGGCAACGAAGGAAGGTGCGGAACGTACAAATCATAGACCGCCCGATCATGAGCAATGAGTTGAGTCAATGCTTGACTTGTATTTATATCCCATAATGTCGCTGTGGTATCTATAGAACAAGTTACGATGTTTCCGGGTGATATGGTGTTCCAACTGAGACTCGTGATGGGGGGTAGGTTCGTAGCAGGGGATTTGCTCTGGTGGTCAGGTCGGCCTATACTGTACATCCATTTTTCCACGATACGAAACCGTCATCACTACTGAAACATTCTGCGGCCTTTAGAAGAGACGTGAGAAGGAATTGTAGAGAAAAGACGCGTGTATCTTGCGGGCCGGAGGGAAGTGATGATAGAGTGAGGCAAGGGAACGAAACCCACGTTTGTGAGAACACTTCGAGGTGTCAAGGAGTAACCCGTCGTTCCTCCTCCCCAACCATTTCCACCGTATTCATCTTCATAATCCCTATCAATCTCCCATATCCTGAGAACATCTCCAGTCGTGGCTAATAACTCCCTCTCTTCGTCATTGCCCAAACCCCTGTCCGAGGGCTGCCAAGCGACCTTTGTAGCTGGGAACTGTAAATTGGCTTGAGCCAACGGAGTAAAGTTGTTTGATGCGGAGTATGGTGACGAAGAATTGAAATCGATATCGAAGACTTGAATTTTGTTAGTCGGACCGGCCATATACGAAGTGGTAGCTATTCGCAAGCGATGAGCGTCAGAGTTGGAGAAGCTGAGGCCGTATAATGGGACTGAGTGTCAGCGGAAGGAGAAACACAGAATACGTTTGTAAGATGGAACCTTTGAGATACTTACAGGGGGAATCGTATTGTAGCTGAACTGGTAGTACCATGTTGATGGACAAGATTGAACAGGAAGTTGAGAGCGTGGATGATGATGGTCTGACGCTTCTTTCCGCGCGAGTTAAAGGACCCAAGACAGATTACTCTCACACTACTGACTATCTCAAAGATCTGACAGCACTCGGCCAGTTTCGAGCTATTCTCAGAGGATGTAGCATAGGTCGGGATTGTATTATGAAGGCGGGGTTTGAAAAGAGTGTAGAGTGAACAAGGGAGGGCGAGTTGAGTACTTAGCTGAGTAGCTGAGTAGAGTAGAATAGGGTGGACAGGTCGGGTTTAAAGTCACGTGACCTGACTTTCCTCTATAGAGCGTGAGATGGGTAAGGTAGCCTACTACTACTCTAGACTCACTCTCTTGCTAACTTACTCGTACAACACCTCTGTCAACATAGCCAGTGACCAGGGACGAGCTCTTAATTCAGCTTCTGAAGGAGCATGTCCAGAGCCGACTATGTTGCCAAATACCAGAGGCGCAAAGCGTTACGAGATAAAGTGGAGAAAGCATGGCTTGATGAACCTCAACGTGGGTAGCCTCACCATAGCTAACATTTTCACTTTGTAGGACTAATGAACAGGTCCCGGTGGACAGCTGGACTCTTCCATGAAGAAACATACCACTTTGCTGAACCGACTGAAAACTTCCCTTCTCATCGGACCGGCAGAGACGTTGATTCACGAAATCGATGGCTTGACACTTTCAAAATATCTCGAGGAGATCGTAGCGGCAGTGGTAGAAGGTGCTGGTAGGGGCAAAGGGGATGTTGATGTTGCCGTTGATGTAAGCTTTTCATGGTTGCTATGAAGTTTTGAGCTTATGCGACAAGATCGTAGTTCACTTACATACTCGCTTAACACCGGAATTTTTACCACAATTATTACACCCAGCCGCCCTTTTGGGCATCTTGACACCTACCACATCGGTCGCGGGAAAGGATGCCGATAAAGATAAAGAAGACAAGGACCGTCTGGCAAGACAGAGATTGGTATTGCGTATCGTCGCTGAATTAGCCATGGTAGGCGGTTGGGTGGACGGTGTGAGCAAGGGGGCCTCTGAAGTTACGAAGATCTTGAAAGCTTTCGTCAGTCGTTTCCCTTGAGCTGCACATGAGAACTGACAGAAAGATGACGGGAGATCCTCAGTTTTCCAACATGCCTTTGTTATCGTACTTCCTGAAACATCTGGCAGGAGCGTATCTTGGCCCAGACCCCAGCACTGAGAAGACAGGACTGATAGATGATGACTTGCCTGGAAACGTGGAAGACCTGGTGCCCGCCGAATCCCAGAAGAATATCCGGGATTTGTTTCAGACATACTTCAACAACGCTTCAAAAACACTCGTCAAGGGACAGCTAGTAAGTCGGATCCCATCGTTGTACCACTCGAGTTCAGCAGAGCTGTACCAATGTGGGAGAAGCTGACAGCCAGAAACTGCTTGAACAGGACAAAAGAAATCATGAAGCCTATATTAGGTCTGGAGAGATATTCGAAGACCGTCAACATGCTTACGAGCGCATGGCCAAAGCTGTTGAACGGCTGACTACCGGAGTTCAAGCCATGGCAGACCTATTGGGACTCGCACCACCCACTCTGCCGACTACCGCTTCTCTCAATAAGGGTGGACTACAGATCGTCGAGGGACAATCCAGCTTTGTCGTGCGAGACGACGGGGAAGGAGGTGGTATTTGGGACGACGACGAAGAACAGAGGTTCTACGAGGATCTGCTCGATCTTAAACAGACAGTCCCATCAGCTTTGCTCGGGATCAAGGAAAGAATGAAAGGTACAAAAGCGGATGCTTTAAAGGGGCAAGACACGGTGATGGTGGAGAAAGAAGATGATGCTGTCCGAGCTGAGGCTCAGAAGAAAAGAGAGGAAGAAGAGATACAGCGACTGCTGGAGCAGGTGGAGCAGAGTGAAAGTACGATGGACAATGAAGAGCCACAAGGGAAGGACTCCTCTGAGATCAATGGCCTGCCCAGCGCTCAATCACAGCTTGCCATTGATCCCCTTGATGATCCACTTGAAGAGACGTATGAATCGGCCGAGCCGCTAACGGCATCATCGCTGAAAGAAAGCAAAGATATGGATGACGGGTTACAGCCAGGACCACATGCCAGACTCAACGCCATTTTTGCTGCCTTACCTCAAGCTAGTAACAGGGAGATGGTGGATAAATTAGCTGTCGACTTTGCTTTCCTCAATTCTAAAGCTGCCAGGAAACGTCTCGTCGCGGTAAGTCTTTCTTTCCCTCTACACATCATGAGACTCATGACAGTTTATCGGAGCAGTGCCGAAAACTCGAACCGATCTGTTACCCCATTACTCACGTTTGATCGCCACACTCAATCCTTACATGCCAGATATCGGTACAGGTGTTCTGGAGATTCTGGAGGAAGAAACGAGATACCTTCAACGTAAACGTCTTATACGCGAACTCGACAGTGTGCGATTGAAGAATGTTCGTTTTTGGGGAGAATTAGCAAAGTTCAAAGTCGCCAAACCGTATGCTATCCTGCATGTTCTCAAAGTATTTTTGGATGATTTCCGAGCGAATATCGAGAATATCTCAAATCTGCTCGAAACGTGTGGAAGGTTTTTACTACGTTATGAAGGGACCGCTGCAACAGCTAAAAGCATGGTCGGTCCATTTTATCATCGAATTTCGACCTGCTGTAAGGTTACTGATGTTTCTCAGGTAGAATTGATGAGACGTAAACAGGCAAATTCACACTTGGATCAAAGACATCTGATCATGCTTGAGAACGCTTTCTACATGGTTGGTCTTCCTTATCAAATCAGTGTAATCCACGTAACCACAAGATGTGTAAGTGAAGAAAAGAGCTGATGCACAGTGCAACCCACCTGAACGTGTCGTTCGACAAATCATCGAACTCACCCCTATGCAAAGCTTCATTCAATATCTCTTACATGATGTTTTGATGAAACGAACCGTGGACAAGGTAGTGAAACTTTTCCGCAAGTTACATTGGGAAGAACAAGAGGTGAGATCAGTATTATTGAGTCAGAGTGATACTCATATTCAGACTTACGATTACATCCTCATGACTTTCACTCATATTTGGGAGATCAAATATGAGAACATCGAATATGCAGCTAGTGTGGTTTGTGATCTACAAAAATACCATCCCGAGTTTTCTATAGCTGTCGTGGATCAAGTGTTGGAGGATATACGTGTTGGTATGGAGGTATGTTCAGATTTACGTGGAGATTCGCAAAAGCTGAGAAGTAAGGAAAATATCTTTAAATATAATCAACGTAGAATCGCTTCTGTCAAATATTTGGGAGAATTGTATATGTACAGAGTTATTGGTGCTCAGATTATTCTGGACACTTTATGGACTTTGATCTCTTTTGGACATCGTAAGTGTTTTACTTTCAACCATTCCCAAATAGTCCATTCTTCTCTTCTTGATTCGGTCAGAGCCAAACACTCTTCTCTCTTCATCTGTCTCACCTATCTCGCCAGACATGCCGGCTTGGTCGTCCTTGTACGATCGTATTTGCTCCGGACGAACCACACATCTCTTCTCTCATTCTGCAGTGACAATCATTGCAAATCTAGCCATCTTTCCGATATGATTGAAAGTTTGCTAATCATACAGAAGAAGCATTCCCCGTCCCAGGCAGAGACTCACCAATCGACTCTGTAACAGATTTCTTCCGTGTCAGACTCGTCTGCACTTTATTGGATTCATGTGGTATTTGCTTTAGCAAAGGATCACTCAAACGAAAGATGGATAATTTTCTCGTTTTCTTTCAAGTACGTCATCCTTATCCATCGTCATAGAAACGAAATAATGAGATCTGATGGAAAAAGTTATATGTTGTCTGTAAAGTTGAAACACCTATGGATGTGGAATTCATGTTGTCGGATACTTTCGAGGTGAGTTTTCTTCCCAACATGATGTGTCAACCAACTCATTGAAAGACTTTGAGACCGAGTGAAACGAGATTGAAAACTTTTGCAGATGCTGCAGCTGCTGTCGATACCATTCTGGCTGTACAAACCGAAGGTATGTAATTAATCTCTCCCTGAAATACCCCTTCTCCACTTGTTGTCCAACTTTCAACATATACATACATTTTGAGTTACTCCTCAAAATCACTCTCCCTTATCATACCTGTCTCTACCTGAGTGATCATCTTCAGTGACATGGACATACTCAGCTCATTGATAGAAGTAGACGATTCCATCTCCGAAGTAGATTCCGAGATCATGCGTCCTCCAATAGAAGAACCACCACTCACTTCTTCTCTTCCAACAGCTCGATCCCAAATCGAAAAGTTAGAAGAAGACGATACAGTCGTACTTCTTCGTGATCCTCATCAAAAGGACGAAATGGATTTAGAACTTCAAGAAGAATTCGAACGTGAATTTTCGAAAATGTTAGTAGATCCTGGAAATAGAAATGGGGAAAGGAAAGCCCCTCCTTTGTTTGATGCTGCCGTACCACATATCAGAAAAGGTGAACCGGGTTTGATTGGACAGATGGATGATTCTGTCTTGATGGAGAATGAAGGGACTATACAATTTACTTTTTTAGCAAAAAAAGGTGGTAGACAACAAGTATGTTGTTTCCCCAATCCCCCCTCCTCTTCTCCCTATTGTACTTGACTTGTATCTTCGTTTCCACCTACATTTTCTTCTATCATTCCTCCTTGATGGTGTACTGATCGGTTGTTTGTGAAAAAGAAATCTGACATCAGATGCGTCCTTTACAAGTCCCAACAGATTCAAACATTGCAATCAACCTTCGTTCACATCAAGAACGTTCAAAAGCAGAACAAGAACATCTGAAAAGGTTGGTATTACAAAATGAACGTCGACAAGAATTATCAGAGATCCAATGTAAGTTCCGTCCCACTTTTGTCCATGTTTCATCTTTCTTCCCTTTTCCCCCTCGACTACACAATCTGATCTCTACCCCATCTCCGTTCTTACTGCATCATTGAGTGATCTTAGTTTTACAAGTCATCTTCCCTGATATATGAAAAGAAAGGATTATCCACTGATGTCAAGCTTTGGAACAAGAACGTAAAGGAGGTATAAGATGGAAATACGTACCTCGTCATCCGACTTGACATGATCGTCTTCCGAATTGCCAATGTAAGAGAAACCGTTGATTATCCTCCAATTTCCAATCGGTGGAACTCTTCATGAAAGAGAAATTACGATTTGAGAAAATCAACGAATCGCTTGATGTTCCGACATCAAATGGACGGAGAAGATTGACCATTATACGGAGATTCTCGTCCAGCTCACAGTCCACTTCCCATGAAGCAGTGATCCGATTGGGCATGTCAAAAGCTTGTGATAGCTCTACTGTACTTAGAGAAGAAGAGAGATGCATGTTCTATGATGTTGATGATCTCATCAAATTTTTCACCCTCTGGACAATTTCTGATCCACAAGAACTTTGTATAATTTCCAAACGTCTCTTCTCTTCGTCATTCGACACTTTCCCCAATAATCTCCGTATGACATTCGATGAACCAGAAGAGAATATAGCTCTCATCATTCTTTCTTTTTCCTTTTCCTTCTCCTTCACCCTGTCTCGTTCTTCCAACTGTTTTTTGCTCATCTTTTCATCATTAAACTGGTCCGTTCCTAACGACTTTACGTCTTCCTCTTTGTATGATGATTCCACCTGTTTGATGACATTGCCAGTAGAGTGGAAGAAGAATTTGTCTAAATGTATGATTGCCATATCCCACAGAAAACTTCTTTCATTTACCCAACATTTTCCTAAAGCTCGACAATATCCCCAAAGTACTTCGAGGTCTTCTTCCATCATACTCTCTTTCTCCTTCTCCACCTCTTCCTTTTCTATCTCTTCTCTCTCCTCCTTCTCCTTTTCCGCCTCCTCTTTCTTCTTCTGATCCCTTTCTTTCCCCGTCGTAATCACCTTTTCTATCGAAGAGTGAGATGGTGATGCCGACAAAAACGATGACGACGATGATAAACTCCACTTTGAAGTCGCTTCGTCGACCGGCACTTCTCCCGATTTCACATTGGCCAAATTCGAAGCCTTCAATATATCCGGATGAGACCATACCAATTTCTTATAATCCGATGGATACTTTATCGATAAAGGTACCAACAACACCCTAGTGAAAGCTCTATGACCTACAGAAATGGACGAATGAAGTGATAAAAGTGTAGAATAATATTGATAGAATGTCCCTACCCCTGAAAACCCGCGTTCCAGTGGTCCCACTTTCTCCTTCTCCTGACCCCTATCTCCATGTCCGTCCTCGTTGAGTTTCACCTTCAGCTTTTCGAGATTGACCGTATGATCAGGATGATCAGGGAAAGGTTTGATTGTCAGATCAAGAAGATGATCGATGGTAGAAGAAATCAAACCATCTCTAAAAACCTCATCATGAGAAGTAGAGGAAGAAGAGGAAGATTGATTTTGTTCTAGCATGAAAACGTCCATCAACCCAAGGATTAAACGACTTCTGTTCATACCTCCTTTCCCATCATCTTCATAGAACCCACATGACAAAAGTTGAGATTGTACTAATCCCAATACAGCCCGGACTATCTCAATTTCACCAGGGGACCAATCTATGATGTTTTGAGCATGTTGGAGAGCCTCTGATTCAGCTGATCGTAAAAGATCACGAAGAGGTTGAAATGTCCAATCGGGGGATAGAGGGAGTCCTTCTTTTCTTATCGGAATCGAATGGGTTTCACCAATTGTCTCATTGTCACTGACATGGATTGTGTTCGGTGAAGGGGTGGAAGGATCGGGTCTGATCGGTGAAAGGGGTAAAGAACGGAGGGTTGAAGTGGATGGAAGGTAAAAATGATTGGGGATGATGGGACCGATAACGTTTTGAAGGTCAGGTAAGATCATATGTTGATATAAAGGACGAAGTATTGTAAAGTTTATTGGGTCATTCTCTTCTTTATGACGCTCCGAAGGAATATTTGTATCGACAGATGATAATTCTACCATTTGAGAGTGTTCTTCGACTTGAGGTTGTTCACCCGTTGTAAGGAGATTTCCATCAGGTTGTAAGCGAGTAGGAGATGATGATGATGTAGTGGGAGATGGTATGGAAAGTAAAGCGTCGATTAGATCCAAAGCGAGGGGTTCTTCTCCTTGTCGGAAAGACCTCATCAGATGGAAAGCTCTTCGTTGCCATTCTCTAGTTTTCTCATGGTCAGACAACAAACTATCCGTCTCTAAAACCCTTGACCACATTTCTCTCAGGTCGACCCTTTCGTTTGTCATTACCCTCCGGCTGTATGGATCGAAGTTCAAAATCCGCCGTAAGCGTGACAACCCAGCTAATGCACGTTTCATTTCCACTCCTTCTATCTCATCATCTCTTTCGAACAATTGATGGACGATGGATGTTCGTTCTAACATCTTCCAAACTTGTTGTCCCCACTCTGTTAAACGATCCGGAGTATTGACTCTCAATCCTTCTGTCCAACTGACCAAAAACCACAAGATAGAGCTGACCGTACCCCAGTTCTCATCTTTTACCATTTTGTCAAATTGTGAAAAAGCATCTTCTTCCCACCCCATTGATATCACTTGAGACCAAGTGATATCATGTTCTGGTGTTGTCCTATGAGGATCTACGGCACAACAGGTCCAAATGGATATTAAATCCCAATACTTCTCAAGTAACGTGTCATCACCCCGATCTATCAAAGCACGTTGTAAATCTTCGATGATGTCTCTGGAAGATCGAGCGAAAGATGAAGATAGACCGTATCTTCCCAATTGGATCAAAAGCGTTAACACACCATGAACCAGGTCGTGGGTCGAGTCGGAGGCATCCCATAGGGAGGGAACAAGGAACTTCAGAAGTCCGGCAGGTATGGAATTCTCCGTTATGTTTCGGGCGACAAGACGGGATGAAGTGATAGCTTCGATTAGAAGTGATAAAGTTGGGATGGAAGGCGGATTGAAGGGTTCATCGATTTCGTTATTTGTAGAGGCGGATAAAGGCCATGGTCGAGAGAGGATCTGGTGTTGAGCTATTGGAGTGAATAGAGGGATCAGTTGGTCGGCTAGGGATTTAGAATGTCTGGCTGCTAATCGGAGGATCGATATAAGTTGGCTCGTTGATAGAGGGGAGAGGATATCGGTAGAGAGTAATTTACATAACGTAGGAATCAGTTCTTCCCAAGGTAGATCAGATATCTTGATAGCTCTTCGAAGTTCATAGTTGTTTATATCCCAATGAGCTAGAATAGGTCTCTGATATACTTGTTCGTGACCTGTTTCTGATGATCCAATACAAGTATACAGTAAATCCACACTTGCTCGAAGAATATTATTCGACTTTCCTTTCAAACCCTCCAAAGACAATTCCAAACCTCTTTCAACCACTCCAATCTCCTTTGCAACCCTACCGGCTTCCTTAGGTAAGGAAAAAGAGATATATCGTCGGATGATACCTGAGAGAACACCAAACATGGTGACTCTCTGACTGGGCATGGCAGATCGGCAAAGCCAAAGTACTTCATCTATCGTATATCCTGCCAAGTGGGGGGACGAACCATGATGATGTAAGCCTCTTGAGACTGGAATTGAGAGGGTAGATTCGGAGGAAACAGGTGAACCGGTGAGATCGAATCGTGGTGTTGGATCTTCATTGGGAGAAGGAGATGGGAGAGGTTGTAGCCAGGCGAGTTTGTCAGGTTCGGAGGGGACAGTAGGGAAGTAAATCGATTTGAGGTGAGATAGATGGTCTTCAACTTCAACAGGTGGTTCAATTTGGTTTTTCAAATAGGGGTATTGTTCTTCAACTTGATGGGGGGAAGTGATCTCGGTCGAAGTGAGTTGAGGAGGAGGGATTTGAGACGTAGGTCCAGGAGTGAGTTGAGGATCCCTTGAGAAGCCCCTAAGTTGAGCTCTAGTTCGAAGAAGATCCAGTAAACGAGAACCAAAACGTTGTTGTAAATCTTCCACCTCTTGTTCTCTTTCCTCCTCGGTCATAGACTCTACCCTTCTCCTATTCTCCTCATTCACCTCGGTCCTGATCCTTCCCACCTCATCGGGGTGGTTTCGTCCATCGTACGTTGGCCGCACGGGAGTCTTGTCAAGCGGTGGATTTGGAGTGACGTATGTTTGATGAACTGAACGATCAAGAGGGGATGAGATGGGATTCTGACGATTGGAACGATGGATCGCTCTTGGGAATGAACCACCCGATTTGATGGATGGAGGTTGTGGTGGGGAGATTGAGCTAGAACGTTCTTTGATGTTACCCAACATGAGTGCAAAGGTAGGTGTTTGAACAATGATAAGAATCAATGGAAAAAGGAGAAGGGAAAAAAGTGAGAAGTCTAGGCCTGAATATCCTGTCTTAAGTAGTAGTCACTTGACATCTTGTTATCATTGTCCTTTGATTATTGAATAGGTGTTTGAAAGTCCGTGAAGCGTAAGAAAGATCTGACCCCCAAGTCCATAGTGGTAGTAGTACTCAGTGTTGACATTGTCATACTTGATGCGATGAAGGAGATCTAGAGAAGTTGTAAAAAACTCATTTTGGCCAGACAGAGTTTACACTCAACTTTCCCATGGTCTAGGTACAGTGTCCGGGAAGTCCCAGGCAGAACTTCCCTTCGGCGACTTCCCTTGAGATCCGTGATATCCACTATTATCATTCTGGCCTTTCAACTACACACTCAAAGCCAACCTAATCTGTACAGATGTATACAAGGTGATGCTGGGAGTCTTCCATAGTATGCTACATGCTACATATCACTAGGGAAGAGTGCAGAAAGCAAAAAGAACCTGGACTAGATATCACGGGTTGATTTCAACACCCTCTGACAGTTGTCAACGGATCATGACGTCTGCATGGGGAGCAGTATGCAGGCTCACATGACTGACCAGCCACCATGCATGGCTGCACCACATACCAGGTACACCAGAGAAGGGTTATAGCAACTTAACCACAATGAACTAGAAGCGACTGACGACTAGCAATGTGTCACGCGGCGCCGCGTGACATTATCCTTTCCCATCAAACGAAGTTCCTTTGGACATCAGTTCGCCATCAACGACCCAGTTCGCATGAACTTCACCACCCACGAGGGTATTACTGTCACGAACTACGTCGTGACACCTCGATTACTCCACCAACAATGACCCTCCTTTGGCCATCAAAACCCCATCACGCCTTAACCTCTTTACTCTACACGTAACTCAGGACTTCTGACACCAAGTACGGCGAGGTTAGACGGAGTTAGGCTAAGTAGGAACAATGGGAGCAGAAGTGCGGCGATGTTAGGCGGAGTTAGGCTAAGTAGGGACAATGGGAGCAGAAGTGCGGCGATGTTAGGCGGAGTTAGTCGAAGGAGGAAGAGGATGGCCGAGGGCTCGGGGAAGTTGGACGAAGTGCGTTGAAGTACGTCAAAGCGCGAGAGGGTTGGATGAACGTCTAGGAGGAGTAGATAATATTAGCTGAGAAGATCGCTGAAGTTCTTCAGCGATCCTTGATTGTTGTCAGTAGTAAAAGACAAATAGAGATAGCTATACATCGAGATACATCGCCATCAATAGAACAAAGCCTTAGTTAGAGTAACTACGCCGAAGTACGCCGTAGTTACACTCCTTTCGACGTCTGCGCCCTCCTGGTTGGGTGAGACATCGACTCAGAAGTGTGAAGTTAGCCGAGGTTCGTCGACCGTCGGTCTATAAGGAAGAAGTTGCTCGACGGCCGTGACAGTATCAAGGATCGCTCTTACCGACGACCCGTGCGAACCTCGGAGAAGTACAAAGATAATATGGAACCAGAAAGAAGAATTACACGAGGGATGAGTAGGGATGGAGACAGGATGGAGGAGAACGAGAGGAGAGCATTGGAGGAGCTTAGCAGAGCAATGGGGCAGGACCTTGGAGTGGAGGATAGTGTGGGGGGATCAATTCAAGGAGATGAGTTCGTTCCACCGGTGCCTTCTAACCCTCCTTCTCCTCCGTCTAATGCTCTCCCACCTGTGGGATCCCCACTTGGATCAGACCAAACCCCACGCCCAAGAGAAAACACTGGAAGTACGGCGAACTTGGGAGAAGAAGGAACACAAGGGGTGGTGTTGGCCTTGATGCAGATGGTGGCGAATATGAACAAAGACATGATGGAGGAGAGAAGGCGTAGGGAGGAATGGGAACAGAGAAGAGAAAGGGATACAGTGGGCGGGATTGCAGAAGGGATATCAGAAGGAGTGAGGTACGCCATGGGACGGCAAACTTCGGCGACCCCAAGCGTAGTGGGCGAACAACGGAAGGGGATAAAGCTACCTAACCCAGACCTCTGGAGAGGAGATCGGAACAAGTTAACCGCCTTTCTGTCTGAGTGCGACGTACATTTCGAATTGAACTCTCATCTTTTCCCCGACGACACTAAGAAAGTCTTTTTCATGATCTCTCATCTACGCGAAACACCTCTTCTTGCAGTGCAGCCCGATCTATCCAAAAGACCTCTTCCTGAGTACCTCACGACACACGATCAGTTCGTTAAGTACCTCAAGACTAACTTTGGTGATCCAGACGAAGAAGGAACTGCGGCCCGACAACTTAACGACCTCAAGCAAACCGGGTCTGCTTCGGACTACTTCTCCGCCTTCCAGCGACATGTTGCGATTCTTAAGTGGTCTGATGATGGAAACCTAGTTGACCGAGCCAAGAAAGGACTAAAATCGCACCTTCTAGATGAAATTGCAAGACACGGTAGATCGTTTGGGACTGTGAAAGAGCTATTGGAGTTTGTGATTCCCTTGGACAACCGCCTGTGGAGGAGACAAGTGGAGAAGGAGGCAGAGAGGAAAAGGGAAGGAGGGATAAGGACAACGACAGTGGTGGAAAGTCAGAGGACGGAGAAGAAAGAAGAGAAGAAATGGGAAAAGGGGCAACTTTCGGCGCAGGGCGGTGTCCAGGCGGCTATGATGTCGACGGTGGTAAAGAGTACACCGCCAAACATCGACGAAGTTCGCCGAAGATGGCCTAGGCCGAGCTCCGATCTGAGGGAGACAAGGAGGAAGGAGGGGAAGTGCACCGAGTGTGGTGAAGCAGGACATTGGCTGAAGGAATGCCCTGTAAGGGAGGCTAAGGTTAAGGTTGGACTGTTGCCTCCATGGGGGGAGAAGTTCGGAGAACGTGGTGGAGGATCGGGAGGGAACGCAGTACCTCTCGGACAGAGGAGGAACTTGAATGCGGTTGGAGGAGAAGTAGATTTGGAAGAGGACCAGGGAAAAGAAGAGGACCTGTCGCAGTAGGCGAGGCTCGGCGGGTCCGCCATATTCTCTCGGCCACCATTCCCAAACCCATAAAAGAAACACAGCTGATGGAGCCAGAGGATTGTGAATACAAAAATACACCACTCAGTACCCCTTGTTCATGCAATGTCGATAATCATCTCCTCATCCCTTCCGTTTCCAGAGATCAACCTAAATCGGACATTTTCATTAATGGAATAAAGCTAACTACGCTCTGGGACACTGGAGCTACTTGTTCATATATAAGCCCTAGGGCAGCAGCGAAGATAGGTGTAGAAAAGAGGCGATATCAGGTGAGCGTACCCGTTCACATGTTCGACGGCTCGGTGAGTGTCGCTGGACCCATCACCGAGTTTGTCGAAGTCGGATTTAGTTTGACGAAGGACGCCGAAGTGCGATCTGTTTGTCTCGATGTAACAACGCTCTGCGACGCAGATGTTGTGATAGGGTGGGATTGGATGAGGAAGGAAGGGGTTGTCCTTGATGGAAGAGACAACTCGGTGAAATTTCCCATCCCAACCCCACCAAGTGCGGCGAAGTTAGCGGCCATAGGTCTGCCAACTCCGACGGACGCGATAGATCTCCGAGACAAAGATGATCAGGATGAACTGAGTCCGGAGGAACAGGAGGAATTGTATCAGGTGGTTCCCGAACAATACCACTCGTTCATTGATGTCTTTAACCCAAGGAAGGGAGGTGAGGAATTACCTCCCTCAAGGAGCTATGATTTGGAGTTTGATCTTAAGGAGGGGGCGAACCTGAAGGTTGCTCCACTCTACTCGCTTGGAGAAGATCAGAGAAGTGCGCTGAGAGACATCCTAGATCGCGAAATGTCGGCCGGAAGAATTCGACCCAGTAATTCGCCCTACGGATCACCGATGTTCTTGGTACCGAAGAAGGCAAAAGGTCAATGGCGAATGGTCATTGACTACCGAAAGTTAAACGAGGCAACGATACCCGACGCCTATCCTCTGCCTCTGATCGGCCAGATAACCGAAGAGCTGGGAAGAGCGAGGTACTTCAGCAAGTTAGACCTAATTGGGGCTTATCAACTCCTACGAGTAAAGGAAGGTCATGAACACCTGACAGCGTTCAGGACGCAGTACGGTATGTTCGAGTCTCTTGTTGTCCGAGATGGCCTACGGAATGCTCCCGCTGTGTTTCAGCACTTCTTGAATGAAAGTTTTCGAGAGCTGCTGGGAAAGGGAGTAGTAGTCTACATAGATGATATACTCATCTACGGTCAAACGTTGGAAGAACTGAGGGGAACTACGGCGAAGGTGTTTGAAGTGCTTCGGAGGTCGAATTTGTTCGTTAAAGCCAGTAAGTGCGAGTTTGAGAGAGATTCGGTAGTCTTCCTGGGGTTCGTGGTTTCACAGAGGGGAATTTCCGGTAACCCGGATTACATCGATGCTGTCGTATCTTTTCCCCGTCCTAAGAACTTGCGAGAGAGTAGGGGATTTATGGGAGTTGTCAGTTATTATCGGCGTTTTGTCCCCAACTTCTCCAAGATTGCTAAACCGATCAATGACCTCACCAGGAAAGATGTGCCGTTTGTTTGGGGAGTAGAGCAGGAAAGAGCCTTTAAAGAATTGAAGGATAGGATGTGTAGGGCGCCAGTATTGGCTCACTTTGACCCTTCGTTGAAGACGCTACTACAAACAGATGCGTCGTTCTTCGGCTGGGGATTCATAATTTCGCAGGTGAACGAGTTGGGGCAAGAACACCCGGTGGCTATCGAGTCCGGAGCGTTCCAGGCGGCGCAGTTAAACTACACGGTAGGCGAAAAGGAATTACTCGCTATCGTTGAAGCTTTCAGGAGAAGGAGACACTTACTACTACAGGTAGAGACTACAGTTCTCACAGATCACTTAAATTTAACTTACTGGATGGAACCTAAACAACTTAGCCCCAGGCAGGGTAGGTGGGTCGAAGAGCTCTCTAACTTCAGGTTTAAAATGGTGTATCGACCAGGAAAACAAGCTACACTGCCGGACGGACTGTCGAGAAGAGCAGACTACCACTCAGGGAAAGGAAGTACTATGGTGCAAGAGAGCAACCTTATCCAAGGTCTGCCGAAGTTCGACGAACTTGATGATACTAGCTCTGGGTTACAACACCTGCTTCGGGCTTTACAAGGAACAAAGGAAGTACGAGAGAACGACCTCATTGACCCTATAGATTTGATAGTTGGAATACAGGAAGACGAAGAGGTGGAGGAGGTTAGAGAAGAATTATTGGGGGTAACCTGTGCTAAGTGCTCTCATCCGACATGTCATGATGATGTGCAGGAACCAGAGTCGGTCACCGAACTACGCCGTACCTCGCGGTCTCCCTTAATACTTCGTGGGGGATGGAACTCAAGAGGGTTCCTCACGTTCGATGGTCGAACTTATGTGCCGAACTACGCCGATGCTCGACTAAAGATAATGAAGACGCGGCATGACTCGGTCCTAGCGGGTCACCCAGGCTCAGCGAAGACTCTCGAGCTAGTCCTACGGGACTACGTTTGGGTTGGAGTAAGGAAGGATGTTGAAGATTACATCGCTGGATGTGCGGTGTGTCAGAGAGCAAAGACTAACAGGCAGAGACCCCATGGAGAGCTTAAACCACTGGAAGTGGCTACGAAGCCATGGTCCAGCATTTCGATGGATTTCATTGAAGAGCTCCCGAATTCCCATGGATACAATTCCATCTTAGTAGTGGTGGACCGGTTGACCAAATGGGCCATTTTTATCCCGACTACGACGAAGTTAACCGCAGCTGGCCTATCCGAGTTGATAATGGACTATGTGGTAGCTCAGCATGGGCTACCAGAGAACATAGTGTCTGACAGGGGATCGAAGTTTACCTCGAAATTTTGGAAGAACTTGACCGATAGTCTCGGGATAAGACTACATCTCTCTACTGCATATCATCCGCAGACTGATGGACAGACTGAACGAACCAACCAATCCTTAGAGCTCTACCTTCGAATCTTCACTTCTTATCAGCAGAACGATTGGTCGAAGCTACTAGCTCGAGCTAGTTTCGCCTACAATAACACCCACCATTCCGCGATTAATAAGACACCATTCTATGCGAACTATGGATATCATCCTCGGTGGGCGGAAGAGATCAAGGCCAGTGAAGTCGAAGTACCCGCTGCTACGGTGATGGTAAAAGACTTGACTGAAATACACAAGGATTGTATCGAAGGAATTGAGAAAGCTAATGAGAGGTACGCCGAAGGATACAATAGGAAACACCGGGCTACGCCGAACTTCGTGGAAGGAGACCTAGTGATGCTGTCGTTAGAGAATATTAAGACGAAGAGACCAATGAAGAAGTTAGATGTTAAGCAAAGTGGGCCGTACAAAGTAGTACGGCAGGTGGGTTCTCATGCTTGTAAATTGGAACTACCAGGAACGATGGCAGGTATCCATGACGTATTCCATGTCTCCTTGCTCCGTCCTTATCATCCTCCAGTATTCCCTGGTCAGCAAGCTGAACCACCTGGCCCAGTAGAGGTAGATAATGTAGGGGAATCGTGGGAGGTAAAGGACATTGTGGACTCTAGAGTAAATAAGAGGTCAGGAAAGTTAGAGTACTTGGTGGAGTGGTTAGGTTACGAAGGAACAGACGACTCAGTATCATGGGAACCAGTGGAGAACGTCGATGGAGCTGACGACATATTGGCGAAGTTCCACGAACTTCACCCTACTAAGCCGAAGGAAGGGCGACTGCGAAGGGCTAGGAGATAGAACGTACTGCATACAACATAGGATTACAGCTACGTACCGCTCACTTGTCCTTACTCTTACCCTTACCTTTTCCTTTTCCTTTCTCCTTCGATCTACTCGGTCCCGCGGGATTGGTGTGGAGGCTACCGATGACCGAAGGTAGATCGAGAGTCTCAGACGGGAACGCAGTAGAGAGAGAAGCATTCCATGCCCGATTCATAGCCCCGAAGAAGTCACCGAAGTCCTGGACATCTCGAGCAGCTTGCATGCTTGGAGTCCTCCACAGAGAACGTATGGTCCGTAGACACTCGAAGGGAAGACTGAGGAGGTCGAGAGCAGTCTGGGCGGAAGCTGGGACACGAGAACTACTACGGCGACCTAACCAGTCAAGGGACGGTGGTGGCTCATACGCCATAGGAGTGACTAGGAAGGGGGTGTCGAACAGTCTTCGGCGAACATCGGCTATCTCAGTAAGGCTTCGGCGAGAGACGTCCGCTAACCTCGTCCTTGCTCCGTCGTCCAGAGCCCCAGTGTTGACTGCATCTACTAACGCCGCAGTGAGATTGTTTAAAGCGTTAGCTTGACGAGAAGAGAAGTCAAGCAGGAGAGATGTATCATTTTGGGCGGCCTCGAGCTGAGTAGTGAGACCGAGGACGAGAGAACGATAAGTGGCGAATTCCTTTTCGTCCTCAGGAATACGGACGTCCAGGGAGATACGAGGGTGGACGAGGGACAACCGGGGAGCAGAGGGACCAGCACGCTGAGTATCTTCACTTTCCACATCACCATCATTGAAGGCAACCTCCTTCCCTTTAGATTTCCCTTTTGATTTCTTTAAGGAAGACTTCGGTGTCTTCTGGGAAGCAGAGGGAGGGGTGACGGGAGGGGCCGCCGAAGTGGCCGGAGGAACAGAAGGACGCCGACTTCGGGTGCTGTGAGCCGGAGGAGAAGCTACCACTGGAGAGGACGGACGTGGCGCCGAAGGACGAGAGGCCGAAGGACGGGAGGCCGAAGGAGCAGAGGCCGAAGGACGGCGAGAAGACGAAGGAGGAACAGCCGGGAGACGTGATGGGCCGGCCACAGGAGCGAAGGGCGACGGCGACGGAGGCGACGGGCGGAGGTCCGGCGAAGTACGGCGAACCGACCGGAGAGACGAAGGCGGTACCCGCGAACGGGGGACAGACGCTGGAGTCTGGGGAGGGGGGAGAGGAGAAGCGTCGAAGGGACGGGGCGGGATGTCCCGGGCAGAGGAAACGGGACAGAAGGAGCAGGGGCCAGACGTGCATGAAGCACAACGGAGGGCCTTGTTGTGTGGCCTGACTGCCTTGAGGCAGGGCCAGTTTGGACGATTATACGTGATAATCTCATGTCTACTAATTAGCAGGAGTAACTTCGGCGTAGTACGAATAGGTGGACTCACCGGCAACGATCACACGCTTCGTCAACACCAACCGCGATCCAACGACCAGGCTCGGACTTCATCTTCTCCCACAAGTACTCTTCTTCCCGCAGTGATCTCTTCACCCGTTTGGGCGAAGGCTCCCCTCTGGGAGAAGGGGGGGGAGCAGCGACGGGGGCGGCGGCAGCAGGACCGGCGGCGGCAGCAGGAGCGATGGCGGCGGCAGGGCGGGCGGCGGCAGCAGCGGCGGCAGCGGCGATGGCGTTGGGGGGGGGGAGAACCCCGGAAGAGGAAGAAGAAGAGGAAGAAGAAGAAGAGGAAGAAGAAGAAGAGGAGAGGGAACGGCGTCGTTTCTGGCCCACAATTTGAGCAGGGGGAGGGGCAGGAGCGGCTGCGAGTTAGCAATGTCTTGGAGAGCTAAAGAACAGATAAACAAGGCCAAGTTCGGCGAAGGTATAGGAGGGTGGGCGAAGATGTTCGAGATATGAAATAGGTGACAATAACTTCTGGGTGTAATAACTTCGTACTTTACTAACTTCTATCACTAAGACAACAACCAGAGATCGTCAAAGATCTCTGGGAACTTCGGCCCTTAAGTACTTCGTCCTTCCCTAACTTCGTCAACGCAGAACTTCGTTCAACCCGACGTCCCGAGCTTCGTACCTCACGAACTTCGTCCCCGACGAAGTTCGTGCCTTCCTAACTTCGTATCCTCCTAACTTCGTATCTCCCTAACTTCGTATCTTCCTAACTTCGTATCCCCCTAAGTTCCTACATGACTAACTTCGTCCTCGACGAAGTTAGCCTCCTAATACCCTCGTGGGTGGTGAAGTTCATGCGAACTGGGTCGTTGATGGCGAACTGATGTCCAAAGGAACTTCGTTTGATGGGAAAGGATAATGTCACGCGGCGCCGCGTGACAGTCTTCTCTAGGACACTTATTTATAGACCTTACTAATTATCCTTAGAATCCGCCCCACATACTTTCAGATGACAGAACACCAGAAAGGCCTGTTTCTTGCGATGTGGAGCCAGAGGACAAGACACCACTCACCAAAAAGACTGTTGGTTCCACAGAGCCCTTTGAGTCCCTTCTTGAGACTTTCCAACCATTAGAATCCAATCCACCCCTTCCAAGGATCCCGGGGCTGGACTTTCCGAATGAGACCGTTACAACAATGATCACAGGTCAATTACCAGTGAATCTATCCTCTTTACCCCACCACATCCCGTTGAATCTGTTGGACAGAAACAGCAGACAAGAGGTGGTGCAGACCTCAGTGATGATCCACTTTGAGCGACCACCATTTCCTGTCCCTGGGATATTGATGACTTTGTATGTGATTCAAGACATATGAAACTACGTAAG